AGAAATTGCAAAATTTGCGGCAAACTTACTCGTTACAAAATTAAACGTCGATCTTGATAAATTTTATCTTCCTTTAGTTTAGATAGAACAGGAATCAAACTTTGCGCTGGACGGTATGGATTTAGATTAAGAATTATCGATAAAATAATTAAACAAAATATATATGTCATGTTTTTCATGTTAATTTTCATTTAGAGGTTCTTCATTGTCGCGAGAATATTTCGGCAAAGTACAAAAATTATTAATTTATATTCAGTTTTTAATATGATTTATATAATTATTGGGTAAATATATCTCATCATTTGAAAACAATTAGAACTTTTTCTTCTTATATTTATTGTAAAATTTCAGGCTATTATAACTTCGCAAAACGAAATGTTTGTAGTTAAAAAATGTTCAGTTATATCTTATCAAAGACCATTATCTACTCAATTTTTCCTCTCTTATTCGAAAACAGGTCATGTGAAATTTTTATTTAGAAATTTATTGTCGCGAGAATATTTCGACAAAGTACAAAAATTATTAATTATATCGATAAATTATATTAATTTCTTAATAAAATTTATAATTATTGGGTAAATACACATATCTCGCTATTTGAAAATGATTAGAACTTTTTCTCACTTTTTATATTTAAAATTTCAGGTCATAATTTCGCAAAACTAAATTTTTGTGGTTCAAGAATGAATTTAGTTATATCTTACCAAAGATGATTATTTACTCCATTTTTCCTCCCTTATTAAAAAACAGCTCATGTGAAATACGTATTCGCGGTCTTTTCTTAAGTCATTGTCGGCGAAAGTTTAGTCATAGAGATGTCGCACGAGAATGTAAATATCAGCATACACCGTTGTGCACAGCAATATCACGTGCGCATACAAAACAGTATCGCTGTCGTAATAGTATCGTTGACTAGTACTACGTTTACGCGAGCGTTACTGCTGTAGTAACTTACGATAATTCACTCGTTTAAACGGAGTAAATCATCGTAAGTTACTACAAAATTCCGTTTACGCGAAGGAATTATCGTAAGTTACTGCAGAAGTAACGATCGCGTAAATGTAGTATAGGAACAATAAAATCATGTATCAAACAAATAGAATATAAGGTAAATAAAAGAGTACGTATTTGCCTCTTGAGAACAAGTACAACTATCTCGAATCTTAAACATGGATCGAGATCGGAAAAAGATTCCAATTTATAAATATAGAAAAGTAAAGAATTTTTTAATATATTGATTTTTTAGGCAACTTTAGACAATTTTTATGTGAAAAATTGTCGTTGTTTATTCACATTACATACTGTACTTTTCATATAAAACTGATTTGAGAGAAAATTGTTGCTCTACTCGTACTTATTTAAAACCATTTAATTTTTTTACATGTACATGAAAAAGATACATGTATCAAAAGATATACGTAAAACGACATATGTATATGATTTCTAAAAAAGCCATCAAATTTTTATAATTACTATTTTTCAAATTTACATTCTATAGCATTAATGACATATTAACGATATCATTATTTTTAAAAACGTTCACAGTTCTTTTGTTGTAAACAGCAAAACATGTGTGTATATGTTGTAAATTGCTATATCATATATATTTTTATGCAACACGTGCATGGAAAGTGCCCCATTACGCACGCTACGCGTGCGTGATAGACCACTTTCTAGGCACTTGCAACATAAAATAGGGAGTGTAAGCCGTGTGTAAAGATGAAAATTCCCGGGTGCGGTTACCGCACTCGCCTTCGGCTCGTGCGTAAACTCCGCACCCGGGAATTTTCATCTTACCTCACTTGTTACACAAATAACTATTTTTCTTTGCAATAGTGTGAAATGTTAAAGGTATAATATATTTTTCTCTCTTAGGGTATAGGGTATTGATACTCTACACATTTATTTTCGCGGGAAGATATGTCTCTCTTTCAGGATACAATCTTACGTACGTCAGACAATGGGAGCATCGAACCGGTTCTTCCCCCTTTTGCCGAGCGCGTCGATTTGAATGGATGAGGAGCTTACGAAGAAAAGCAACCGTCTCAAAAAGTTTCATCATTTCGAAATTCCGCTTACCTAGCTCGGCGTAACATAGAGCCCCGATGAGGGACAGAATCCCGGAGAAGATCCAAACGATGAGCGCCTGGCCGACGCTGCCGCTGTTCCTGAGCACGCCTTTGGGCGACACGAAGATACCGGCGCCGACGATGATGCCGACGATGATCGCCACGCCGTTCCACAGACCCAGCTCCTTCTTGAGCTTGACGCCCTCGCCGTCGCTCTTGGTTTTCGCGGCGTCGTCCGGCCGCAGGACCGGCTTCTCCGCCGGCGCTACCTTGTCCGGCATCTTTCGCGCGTCGCGGGACTTATTGTTAGAGCCCTTTTTGAAAGTACGAAACAGGCGCGCGCGCGCGAGCGCGCGTACTCGAACGTCACGCACGTTTCCACGCGACGACTCGGTGTACTCTGGCGACGGCGACGGCGGCGTGCCGCGTGGGCATTACCGCGAATGCGTGGCGACGCGACGCGGTGACGACGCACGTGGGCAAGGCGGATAAAAAACGGAAATTGTGGGAGATAAGTGGAAGATAAGAGGGCGGAAGAAAAACAGAGAACAGGAGAAAGAGCGAGAGAAAGAGAGATAAAACGCGCGCGCGCGCGCCCTCACGCCGCGTATCAACCACGTGGCAAGGAGCGTTTCGCGCGACGGATGTGCGCGACTTGCGTGCCGGGCCGCGATTGCCGAACTGCCGCTCGCGATTTCGCTTCGCGGCTTCGGGCTTCGCGCTCGCCACGGCTATACGCTACGCTCACCACCGTCGTCGTCTCCTACCCTTCGACAACGACGTGATTCGCCGATCGAACTGACGCGACGCTAGCGGCGCCCGCGCGCGAACACGCGCGCCCATTGGCGCGGACACGCGCGCTCCGAAATTTTCGTCGGAGCGCGACCGGCATACGGGCCTCCGAAATTCGAGGCAGCGCGGCCTTCCTTCTCTCCCTCGCGTCCCCCTGAAAGTACGATGGAAAATGAAGACCACGCGCGATGGAAATAAATAAAGATCTACTGACAAATTTTTTTGCTACGTCGACATTTCACGGTCCTCTTCCGCCTTTCGCTAAAAAAACGATGAACAATCTCGGAGTAACGTCGAAAAACTGATGATCGCACTGAAATTCGGCGTTTCCTAACGCGAACGTGGTTTCTCGTCGTATTCACACACCACGGTTTTGTGCTGTCGCTTTAAGAAATGTATACGTTCAGCATATATAATGTTCACTTAGGTAAAAACGGCACAAACCACGTACAAGCACTGTTCCGCAGTTTCTCCATAATAAAACTTCGACATTATACAACGTAAGCAATTTTTTTTTTCCAATTTCATCAGCGAGTGCCCACCGTTCCTGCGCCACTGCCCTTCACCTCAGGTTCTACGTGTCTTACGGGTGTCCCGATCCGTGTTGCATCATGAACCGCCAAACGGGACTCGCACACCTGTGAAAAAGATAATGTATCTTTCCGATGTGTATTTACGATGTGAAAGAAGGCGACATTTATCATTTCACATGAAACAGGTGATAATTTACATTTTACATAAAAGGAAGGGCGATAATTAATATCTCACGTAAAACAGGCAATGTTTCATATTTTAAAAACAGGTGATAAGGGAGCGATGAAAATTTTGACAGAAAGAGAGGATGTCGCATCAGCCGGTAGCTCCTCAAACTCGATGACATATCGAAAATGCATTAGTATAATGAGTATATAATGTTTGCTCTTTGTAACTAAACGTTTTACACTTTTCATCCTCCCTCTCCTTCCCTCGCCAACGTTTAATTACATCCCATGTGCAAAAAGAATGACATAGTGCAGCTATAAACATAAACAACAGACCTATTGATGACTACTGCGTTCGTGTTACTCGCGGCAATTCTGTCACGCGAGACTTCTCGTCGAGTCAAGAGCCCAGGAAAGTCGACGATTTCATAATGTTAATCGATAGACTTTATTATCATACGAACATAATAAGATAATATAAGTCCATTATACATTAGGCTTATTAATAACTCTAATATACATTTATTAATCATGAATAAGTTGCATAAAGTTACATCGATTAATAATTAATAATTATAAGTTAACAATTAATATTGTTAATCATACTATAATATGTAATACGAGTTTAATAACGTTAAGAAGTCTTAAAGATGTTTTTAAAACATTTTGTAGATATACGTGCTATCTAGGAATTAGACTTATTATCTTTGCGACAATGTTTATCGTTCGCAAAAATGTTACATACACGATAGAAATTCGAAAAAAATTCAAGCTGCGAGACTACGAAAAATTTGGCTCAATTTCTCCTCGATAGAAAAGTTTGGTCAAAGTGCCGATTAAAAATTTAACAATAACAACGCGGTCTTGGCGTTTTTTTTTCGATGAATAAGTATTTTATATCGTACATACATTTTTCCAATTAATTTCTCCACAAATCGATAATCGTGCAGTTTACAGACCTCGAAATGACCGGTATTGCATTACTGCAGAGTCTGCAGAGTATGGTGGATTCGCGCGGCGGTCAAATTTCCGTCACGTACGTTTCATCTTTCAATCTATTGTATTTTGTAAAATTAGGCTGATACTACGTGTGTCGTACGACAAATTTTTTAAGCATGTTAATTGGCCGCAGGATAGAGAAATTCTCGAGTTTCTAGGAATATATCCTCTATCTTATAGCCAATTAGTACGCCTGACGAAGCTTGTCGTACGATACATGAAATATCGGCCCTTACACTGCAAATAGCGCAACGCTGTACTTTTTCGTCGTGAACGTTCACCCACGAGAATTCTCTGCCGCCCTTGCGACCCCGCGCAATGATCGCGAATCGCGTTTCGATCAGCGTGCCGATCGCGCGGCGATCCCGCGGGCGCGAGTCACGTGAGGACCGGGCGTCTCGGTGCGCAGCGTCTCGCGGCAATCTTCACGCCGTTCGCGAGTCGTCGCGACACGTGCCGCCGCGTACGAAGGATCATTGTTTCCCCGTGAGAAAGCGGGATCGGGGCGATGTGCGCGCGCGCGCGCACGCGAGATACCGGGAGGCTGGCGGTGTACTAAAGTATACGCGCGTCTCCCGTCTCCCGTGCGTCCGAGCGAGCCCTCTCGCTCGCCGGGAGCACGCATCACCCTCTCGGCATTGGCGCGATCCGATACGAAACGCCGTGAATGTCGCCGCAAGCACCATGCGGGAGATCCTGCATGCACACGAGCGGGTTTCGTTTTCCTCAAGAAAAGCTTCCAATGCAAATTAACTTGAATCTCGATTTGGCTTACTTATTATCTTTCTGTTTATTTCTAAGAATTAAAGAAAGATAAAAAGATAAACTGAGATTAAAATCAATCTACATTGATAGAAATGGATACAAAAAGACGCGAATAAAAAAAAAAAAGAAATCGCGATACGAATTAAATTGTATACGAGCGACGTTCGCGACAATTGTGTGTGTGCGTCAAGAAAAAAGATTATAGATGCAAATTTATTATTGAAATGTTAATTCCTTTTTTCCTTTTTCCGTGACGTTTCCACAATGTGTTCTATTATACATGTGATAATGTATCCCAACTACAATTATAGATACGCTGCAAAGCGTTCTACGCCAATGGCGCCGCACGTCCGTTTCGTCAGTGCTGCGCAACCTTCTCGTCATTATCATCGCATTATCATTTACGCGTAGCCTATTCGTATGCGTGCGATCGCTTATATTATACGTGCTACTTAAATACGTGAACGAAACCGCCGCGCCGTGACGATTGAGTTAATAATAGAGTTTCTAGTCGTGTTTCTATTGATATCGAATCTATTTTTTGTGAGATATATATTTCTAAAATGTGCGTGTAAAAATTTGGAAAATAACCCGGATTTAAATAAAATAGTATTGAATAAATTAATAGTCACATTAAAGATTTTTGTAATTTTATTGTATGTACCTTCTTTTTTCTTGTTATAAAGAAAATATTTAGGATTGGATAACTTTATTTTTTAAACTAGACAATAATCTTTTTCGAAATGTTATTTACACTTTTCTTTCTACCCGTTTTAATCTTAGGGTGCTTTAAAAAAATGTTATCACTTATAGAAGTAACTTTTTTTAGAGAAACAGAAAACGGGGCAGATAACAGTAGATATCACACAGTAACAAATGTAATATGTCTTCAAAGACACTCTCTCTCCACTTTCCTTATCAATACATTCTTGGAATCTTCTCCCAGGTGATCTCTAGAAATATGGCTCTCTAAAGTAACTTCCATATAAGTGTTAACATTTTTCTGAAGTACCCTATATATGTACACATACTTTATTTAAATAACAATAAAAATGTAAATAGAAAAGACATTTATTATATTTGATATAAATTCACGCATCGCGCGTGAGAAAACCCAGACAGCACGCATGTCATCCAAAAGCGGGACATAAGACGTCTAAAAGAGATCAATCTTTATTTAGACGTTTTACGAAAAAGATGGCTAAAAAGACGTTTTATGTCCCGATTTTGGACATGGTGCTGTCCGGGAAGTCTCTGATTATTTTCTCAAAATCTGTTTTGCTGTTTCAAATTCAAACGTGTGTTCAAGTTTAAACTGGAACTTGACTCGCGCCCAACTTCGCAATACAACAATTGTTCGCAAATAATATTTCGTTCCCGCAGTCGACGTACGCAGTTCCTACAGAAATTCTATGACTTCCTTCGTTCTCATATCGCCAGCTGAATTTTGAAAGGACGAGAGGGAGGGATAGACACACACGTTTATTCAGTCGGTGGGACGCGCGGTGAGGGCGAGCGCGGAGACTCTTTTTCCTCCTATCTTTAGGAAAGCCGAGCGCCCGCGCCGCCCCGTGAATCTGGCGATTCGCTCCCCGGAGAATCCGCCATTTGAGCGTCACTGCGCGGCAGGCTTCCGCAACGCGCGCGTGTGTTTCTCCCCTTTTCAATCCTCGCCGCGCGGGTCCCCGCGGCCATATAAAAATAAATTTTGACGCCAGCGCGCGAGATGCAACCGACCGACGATCGGCGAAAGCGGCGCGGCTCGATTAGAGTCGTTCCGATCCCTCTTTAGTTGGCGAGGCGAACGGCGGGACAACACGATGGAGGAGGAAGGGGATGAGCTCTTCCCCCCGACGATGATAGGCGACAGGTATATATCGAAATCTCGAGCGCCACAAATCGACGCGGGGATTCCGCCGTTGCTACGCGATAACAATGACGAAAGTACGACACGGCTTCTCCTCCCCGTTGACAAGGGCAGAAGTATTATGTAATCGATAATTACTCGCGCAAACGCGCGATTCGTGATTACACACACGTCGACACACTCGAGAAGCGATAAGACAAATTGGCGGCCGTCAACTCCTTGATTGAACATATAGATAATTTCGTATAATTGCGTTCCGTCGTTATCATCGGTCACCCTCACTTTCGTGATTTTCCCGTAAGAAACGATTGCGGCTGCGGTCCACTTGACGCTACAAATGCTTCGAAGCATTCCTCTTCTCTTTTCTTTCAATGAAAAAAGAAGGAGAAGAAGGACGTTCCAAAGAATTTGTATCGTCAAGTGGACCGCAGCCTGCGTTGTATCAAAAGTGACTTATATATTGTTCAGGAATAAAATATCATATCTTTAATTCATCATTATTGCAAACTAAATGAGAGACTATTGCTTTATATTGAATTTTCTGACAAATGTAGATTTTCTAATGTTAAATTGTATATTTATTATTTGCAAGTGTTATCATTAATCCTGTAAATCTTATTTGTATATATTTTCCGTTTTCTATTTTCCATTTTCTACCATTTTTAAATCTCTCTATTCAAAAGTGCCTAGCCGCCGCAAGACGTCGCCACGTCCTGGAGACAGACTCTAACGTCATCTGCGAGGAAAACCACCAAACGCGAAGGCGATCAGCTGATGTGGTCGTCGCCAGTCGCCAGTCGCCAGTAGAAACAAGTAGAAACGTCAAAGGCGCACGACTACGAAACTCGCAGGACTTTATGCCCGATAGAAAGAGAATTGAGGGATTACCGAGTGGTATTCTGACGTAAAATTGGATCTTATACTGCATAAAGAAAGGGTGAAGAGCATTGTGGTCCGATAAGGGCGGATATCCACAGAGAAAGGAGGAAGCGAAGGCTCGCGTGATTAACAGATGTAAACATTCCAAACATCGCCACCTCGGATTGGAAGTCGCGCCGTCGAAAATGAATCACGTGGAGATCGAGGACTTTTATCATCACGACTTTACCACCGTCTCCGAATGGGAAGTGTTCATCGCGCGACTCGAGGAGATCATGCACGAATGGAGGCTGCCGCATACGAAGGTCGCGAGCCCCCTCAAACCGGGGGATTTCGTCAACTGTCAGTGGCACGAGGCCTCGGAGAAGCTGAACTTCGCAGGTTCGTGTGTGTGTCTGACACGGTTTGACAAATATATCACAGGAAATGTTATGGACGGCCGAACGTCAAAAGCCTGTGTGCAATAAGTAAAAGATTTTTTTATAAGGAAGCATCAAATACACCCTTGTTGTACGAATCTTGAATCGCAATTTGTGATTAAAGAACCGCATGTTGTACTTATATGTATAACGTTTTATACGAAAGATTCTGCATAGATTATTGAATACTAGTGGTACATAGACAACATAGATTTATAACATCTATCGATTCAATATTATATACTGTGTGAAATTAATTTTTATCTGTTACATTATATAATATATATAATTATATAATAACTTAATTCATTATTTATGAATTATTTATCATTCAGATGTAGAATTTTTGCTGAAGCACTACAAGCTAGAAAAGGAAGAAGAAGAGGAGGATGCGGCAAAGGAGGAAAGTGAAGAAGAATGGATACAGTGTCAAAAGGACGCTTTGGATGTATCCAATGATTTTGTAAAGCTCAATGATAATTGTCTGGAAATAGCTCGTTATTATGGAGTTAGAGAATTTCTTGTTTTAATACCAGCTCGAAAAGGGAGTTTGACAGATGAAACTCGAATCAAGATTGTACTCAGTTCGTTAACAATTGCGACTAACAACGCAAATTGGTAGGTAGCTGATTTGCGATACGATTGAATTGTATTTTTGACGTTAGAGAGTCTTTGTAATTACTATTTTTATGCATTTTAGTTACGTACCGGCATTGGTGCAGGTACAAGAACCTTGGCAGAAAATGTATCTCGGCTGCTGTGCTGGTAAAGGCACGTGTGCGAATCTCGATATGGTACACTTAAAGAAAGTTCCACCACATTGCCGATACCTCACTGGTATGCATTGTCTATGTTTTTATTTAATCTATCTTTAAATAATAGTTTTCTCTAGTTGCAATTTTCGTAGAAAAACAAATGTTTTACAGAAAAGTATCATTTACAGGTTTACTTGCTCTTTTCAAGCAGAAAATTGGGGAGGGCTGCGGAGTAAAGATCGACTCCGTAATGGTGTCCGTTAGATTTTCTTATCTATTAAAAGACTGGACTAATAGCACGTGGACGCAAGAACCTCCGGATTTCGATTTCATGCAGGGAGAAACGTTAGGCGTGGCCGAATTGGGTAAACTTCCTTTTGGAGCGACTTTCGATCCCGTCGGGTACTTAGATTGAATATGTTATCGTCAGGAGCATAGAAAAAGCATTTTTCTTGACCTTAAAAAGGCCTGCTATAAGTTGATTAATTTTTTTTGTTATAAAAGATCCATTATAAAGTTACTTCTGAAATCAACTCTATGCCTCCTGATTATTATAAAAAGTTCTCACAATCTATGTGTGGTATATCTTATTTTAAAATACTTTCAGGGAACTTCACCTATTTGTTACGTGGCCGCAAATGTCAGACAATGTGGTGGTGGATAGCGAAGGATACTCGGATCTCGAGCCGCAACTCGCTCCTGAATGGTCTGTGCAAGTGAAAATGGTAGCCCTGCCGGCTTGTCTACTCAGCGAATATATGACAGACTTTCTGTATCTATGCAATAATCAGAAGACCATGGTGGAACTACTGGGTGAGAGCGCGTCTTACATTCACGATGACGAACAGATGCTGAGTTCGGCCTTCAATGTGCTCACCGAGTCCAGAATACCCACGCTTTCAACCGTTGTGGGCAGATCGAGCGTGAAAAAGAAGAACATCGAAGGTCCAATCTCGGAAGAGATATTGCTACCTATACTTTACTTCCTTTTTCCGGATGCAGATGAAAACTCGGTACGCTTAAGTTTCATTACAATCTCAATACTTCGTTTTATATAGACGGATTAGTTCTTATGATTATATTCTATTATAAAAGGAACAAGCATATTTAAACCAAACTTCACAATAGTGAAAAAATATTTTGATAGACCTGTCATAAATATATAACATATAAAATAATAGTTAAGTTCTTAATTTGTTTAATTTACTAATTATGTTTATAATAATTTGTATTATTATGAAATATATTAGTAATTAGAAATTATAAAAATAATAATTTAGTAAATACAATATAAAAGGTCATCGTTTAATAATTATGTCCTTTTTTCGCATGTATCCCGAATGTTTTTAAAATAATTAAAATTGGTAATTCAGTTTCTTTTGTAAAAGATCTATTCGAATAGACATAATAATCGTTGATTCAAAATCCTTGCAGAAGTTCCCCTACAACGATATCACTGCGGGTGTGGAAGATGACCAGTGGAAGGGTGTGAAAACTTGCGCGATGGACAGCTTGGTGTGGCGTCTATCAATCGTCGCGGCGCACTGCACGCACAATCTTGGCGGAGCAACCGCTTTGGCCCAGCTCTGGCATGAGTTCGTGCAAGAGATCAGATTTCGCTGGGAGAGGAGTATCCTGATACCTGGGTAAGTAGTAAAGTAATTTCTTTATTTGTCATACGACGAGTTGCTCTCGTCATTGATGCGCGTGCATGCGAATGCACGTGCGAATACACGTGTTATAAAATAAGGTAGAGTCAATGTGGAAAACTTTCAGAGTCTTTCATTACATTACTGCCTTTCATTCAAAACGATGAGGAATCATCGACATCATTCTCACAATATGTTGGTTCACTTGGTCGCGATAGCATTTCTCTAAAGACAGACACTTCGATTACAGTCTTTGGATGACATAATCGCAAAGTCCGTTCGTGCGAAATATCGATAAAAATAAACATTCGGAAGTGCGTGCGCTCGAACCGTCCGAAAGAACACTCTCGGCTCGCTCGCTTCAACGATTTGGTAATTAAGAGAGTATTCTTACATAAGGTTGCTTAGAACTTACACAGAACTTACATCTAAAAAAAAGCCGCTTCTCAACCTAACACTCGCAATTCTAATTGATTGCACGCGTTTACGCAAGCATTACATGGTAATGCCTGTCGCACTGTGTTAATGTCATGATCGAAACCAAATAAGTTTCGTACGTGTTAAATGCCGAAGAAATGTTTTCCTATCACACTAAACACATCAGAACTCTGTTAATAGACTCAGTCACTCCTTCAATATTTGATATGAAGTTCTGTAAAGTATATTGCTGTATTACTATATCATCGCGACGAACATTTTCCAAAAAGGGGCGTCTGACGCGTTTGAGACCCAGCTCTTCTCGATCAGAGCGTCTGTCAAGATTATCTAGATTTAAAAGCGCCGCACGAGCGAGAACAGTTCGTTAAGATTGAGACTGAACTCCGCTGAACACGCTTGAGCAAGAATGAACGACGAGATATGGAGGCCACAGATATTTAGAGCGGCACGAGGCCGCTCCTCGTGGTAGGGTTGCGAGCCATGTAAATATCCATGTCGTGGTCGGTCCAGTTGTTCTCGTCGTAGTTGTTGAGAGTATGCGTGGAGTCGGCCAGACTGTATCGGCTGCCAGGTCGCGGCGGATTTGGGTCCAGATTACGGTTACGCGATCGTGGTCGCTGCCGCCGGGCCGATGAGTGCGGTGGCAGATGATTGTTGGTGAAATTCGACCGCGACATCCGGTCCGAGGCGGCCGCCAGCGACTGGCGCGATTGCCGTAATTCTGAAACGGGAAGCAAATGCGTTAAACAATATAGAAGGCTGGACGATTAAGGATCGTGACAAATGCTACGAAAACGAAACCGAAACCGACCTGGTCTCGTACTGACGAGATTAGAAGCTAGCGCGGTGTTAGAAAAGTACCGCGTGGAATTGTTGGAGAAACTGTGCTGAGATTGGCCGTCGGCGATTGATCGGGCGGACACTTTGCTGCTGTAGTGTCCGGCCTGAGAGCGCACGTCGTCGATGCAGGATGCCCTGGTGATCGATCCTGAAATCCATTCCGCGTAATTTACCTTACTCTTGCTACGCAAGACACTTAACTTTGAAATTATTACTGCTTATAAGTATTTGTCCATCCAGCATTTTTACATATTTCTCAAAGATGACAAAAGTGATGATAAAAATCTTTAAAAAGGTTTTTTACGTTAAAGTTAGGATCAAATCAGATACAATTGTGTGATGACTTATTTTGAGATTTTTAAATAAAATTACTTCGAGAGAATAAAAAAGATTGTAAATTCTATGGATAGCAAATATTTATAAACAATAGAGAGACAATAAGTTACCTTGTCGATCAATAGGGAAAATTCTCGGTCGTGGTATGCTCCTGTTGCTGTAGGCCGACACTTGATCCCATTCTTTTTGAGCGTTGTAGGCACTCAAGGTGGCCATTGATGACAGGGGTCCGCCGGGGCTGGGGGTCGGACCCACGTTCGAGCAACAATTGACCGGTAGCCCGGCGATCGGGCCGCCCATCTTCGTTTGATCGATGCTGTGCAGAGTGTGTAGCTTACGAGCGCGGCGTCGATTCGCGACCACGAAGATGATCACCGCGACGACAATCGTGGCGCAAATCGCCGCGCTCGCGGCGATCGTGATCTTGTCCATGTTCGAGGTGGGCGAGTTCTCCGTTCTGACCTCGCGGCACTGGTTATACGGCACATTTGCCGGTGTGATGTTAGTCTCCTCCAGCAAGACTACACAAACCACGATGCATTCCTGCAATTGATTGACATGAATAGATTAATAAAAAAAATTAATTAAAGAATCTGATGGAGTTGAAAAGTGACTTGAATTAATTTCTGTCTCAGATAAAACGTGATCTGAATATTGAAAGTCTGGGATATTTTCAAGAAGTGGAAACTAGTTAACGTTTACAAATTATTGTTAAAGAATTTTATAAATCTTGTTATCTATTATATAATTCAGACTAACAATTTATCTTTTAAATGTTTTTAGATTTAATGTAAATTTTATTAAAATGAATTTAAATTAAATTAATTCAAACTTAAACTTAATTCAGAGTGCTTTTTAATTAGCAAACTCGACTAATTTGGTTCATCGCGATTTACTAAAATTGCTTTATGCATTCTCTTGATTAAGATTATACATTAACAAAAAATAAAACAAGCTATCTCTAAAATAGAAAGTTATTAGAACCAAAGTGAGTCTACGAACAAATTAATCAACATTCCAAATTTTTTCTCCAATTAGTCACCTTCTCTTTATTTTCAATATTTTAAATATATTTTTTTAGTAAAAAAAATTTACCTGGGAGGGTACATTTTTTATCTTGAATTCTCGTTCGCTGGCCTCGAGCGGCGGCGCTTGCTTGAAACTATTATCCCCGAACAGTCGATAGATCACTCTGAAGCCCAGAATGTTAGTCGCCTCCGTGTCCCAGTATATGATGACGGCGTTGTCTTGTCTGAGCACATCCTTCACGACAATGTCCTTCTCGTTCGATTTCGATTTATACAACGGCGATCCCAGGACCAGCGGCGGTCTTGGCTGATGCTGTTGCATATGCTCCTGCGATTGCTTTGGCGGCGACGGAGTGGTCCTCACCACCACGACGTTTCCGGTTCGCGCGGCAGTCGGACGGGTTGTCGGAACGTAGGTCGAGGGTGGTGCCGACGGCGCCGTTCTTCTCTGCTCGGTCGTCGACGATACTGTCACCGTGGTCGTGGATAGTGTCGTGCTGGTGATTAGTTCGGTCGTGGAAGTCGTGGGTCGTATGGTCGGAAGATGAGTACCGACATCTCCAACTGCCGTCTCCGTCGGTTCTCTCGTGTCTACGCTCTCCACCGTTCCGATTCCGATTATCTCTGACGGTCGCTCGCAATTCATGTCTGCGACAATTAGTTTTTATAA